AAACACCTGCTCAGAGAACCCTGTGGGTTTCCTGGAGAAACCCCACCTACATGGCCTGGGTCCCTGAGCTCCCCTGCGGATACCTTCTTCACCCTGGGCTGTAACTGCCTGCAGATTTAGCTGCAAATCTTACCTTTGACTGTCTTCTTCCTAAAGCCAGGGCTGAGTTGCACTCCTTGCAGCCTCCTCCAAGGCCTGGTGTGTAACGGAGCCAGGGAGAACTTGGTCAAACAAGGGGCTGTCTGACCCCCCGGCCCCGTGGTTTCTTCGGGAAGCCAAATGCTAGGTGGGTCCATGGAGGCTGGAGTCAGACTGCCTGGCTTGACCCCAGCTCCACCTCCAACCCCTGGGTGGACTTGGGCAAGAGAATTGGTGTCTCCAGGCCTCAGTTTCCTCACCTGTAGAATGGAGACAGTGGAGACTGACCTAATTCCCAGGGAGCTTGTAGGACCCGAGGAGATGCCCCTTAGCACAGTCTCTGGCTCAGGTTAGGTTTGGGTTAGGGGTTCCCATGGGAAGCTCTGATTCCTCGGCTGGATCCTGGAGCATTTTCTCAATGTCTGTGAGTTGGTTGACCCTGCCTAGACAGACATTTTGCAGTGATGGGCACTGTGACACACTTTACTGTTCCACCCTGGGCACTGAGCAGATGAGACTGCCCACACCCAGTGCTTCTCTGAATCATCACAGCATCCCAACAAGCTCTCCTATTATTAGCTCTCCTCAGGGGAGGAAAAGGAGACTCAGAGAGGGGAAGTTCTTTGCCCGAGGTCACGCAGCTGGTGAATAGCACAGCTGGGCTTGGAACCAGGTGTGCTTGGTTCTGGGGCAGCCTCCTGGCCTTAGACTGTGTCGATGAGGCTTCCTGGGACACCATCCCTGAGACAGGAGTGGTGCCTTGCTCTTTGGGCATTGGGGACAGGAGGCTAGAGGCCTGGAAGGGGAAGGCCTGGTGTTGGGACACTATCCTTTGCCAAGGGCAACAGCAAATCTGGCCCCTGCCCAGGCCTTAAGAGCACAGGAACCAGGCAAGAGGTAGAGATTCAAAGCTGCTCCTTCCCTGCTTAGATCTTCTGGCCAGAATCCAAGGCCATCTGGGAGGCTTTTGCCCTAGTTGATGATGGGTAAATGTCACATCCCTGACTGAGAGACTCAACCGCAGTCAAAACTAAAAGTAAAACGAAAGTCCTCTAGGATACATCTAGTAGGGCCTTTTCGTTTCACTTCCTTTTTTAAGGTATTTACTTTCTTTATCCTACCCTGAGAATATGTTACTTTTATAATATACATTTAAAAAGCACATTTAAAAAAAGAGGGAGTAAAGCATCCATAATTCCATCTGCCAGGAGCACCCGGCACCACCATTCAGGCGAGATTTGTGCCCGGGGTTTTCGGCCTCTCGGTCGGCTGATGCCAGTTGATCCCGTCTCTTTTTCACCTGTCTTCGCAACGCCAGTCCCTTTCCCAGTTACTACAACCTCTCTGTAAACTGTTCTTTGGCGTGAATGCAGAGCCCTCCTCTTCCACGATGGTGTCCCAACACGTCTGACGACACTGTACGTGAACCCTGACCCTGTTTTATAGAGGAGGAAACATGGCCTGGATTGGCGAAGGGGCTGGCCTCTCAGGTCACACAGCCAGAAGCAGCTGCGGCCTGCATGGAAGGTCTTCTAAGCCCTGTTCCCTCTTCTTCCTGTTCCACTGTTTGCTCCTTGCTCTGACTCTCTATCATTCCTTCACTCTCTCCCTTCCTCTCTTCCTCCTACTCGCTCTACTTCGCCCACACCTTCATCTCATTTGACTAAATGGTCTGTGTCAGGCCTATGCTGGGCTCTGGGGATATAAAGAATACAGATCCCTCACTGCCCTCAGAGGACTAATTAAAGAACCCATCACATGCCTCTACACTGAGAACGATGACGAGACCCTAGCCTTGCCATGAACGCAAACGATGGGGCAATCTAAACCTAGTGGGTGGCTTTCTTGGAAGAGAAAACAGCATAGGCAAATGCCCATGGCTGGTGGGAACGTGGCGTGCCGGAGAAGCAGCGAGGAGGCCAGTGTCGCTGGAATAAAGTGCAGGAGGTCTTCAGGGGCTAGATCCGAACAGGGCCAAAGGACGACACCTGGAGCTCTGGCCTTGACTTCGAGGGCCATGGGGAGCCACTGAAGATTTAGCAGAGGAGTGTTGTCCGATTCACATTTTAGAGTCTTCTTCTACTAGTTGTGACACGAAGGGGATAGAGTGGACATGGGGCAACCAGCAAGGTGGGCGCCATTGTCCCAGTAAGGGGATGACACACATCCTCACCACCTGGACAGTTGGTACAGTGCTCACTGGGGTCCACATGGTCCACATGTGGAAGCCCAAAGCAGGGCAGATGTCTTCAGACCCTCAACCCGACTCCTAACCCCTAACCCCTCTCTCCATCGTGTCTCCCCACCTCCAGTGCTGCGGTGCCTCGGTATCCCCACCCGAGTCGTGACCAACTATAACTCAGCTCACGATCAGAACAGCAACCTGCTCATCGAGTACTTCCGCAACGAGTTTGGGGAGATCCAGGGTGACAAGAGTGAGATGATCTGGTGAGATGGTGCCCAGGGTCCTGGGAGAGGAAACCTGGGAAGGCTTCTCGGAGGAGTCACATTTGAACTGGGATTGAAAGTTGGATAGTATTTGGACAGGGGGAAACAGGGCTTGGGGAGGGTTCTCCAGGCAGCATGAGCAAAGGCCAAGAGGGACAGCCAACACAGGATACATGAAAGGGCATCAGGAAGAATATGTTGTTAGGAGTCTGGGAGGCCAGGATAGAGGGTCTGGGCTTCCAGGAGTCACCAAAGGCTTCAAACTGGGAAAGGAACATGTTGATGAACCTGGTACAGGAGGTCTGGAGGCAGAGCGTGGAGTGGGAGCTGGGGTATGGTCCAGGTAGGTAGTGATGAGGCCTGAACCAAGGCAGAGCCTATGGACCGGAAAAGAAAGGACAGAGCTGAGAAATTAGAAAGTCACATCGGCTGGACTTGAAGAGTCGCTGAAAGGGGACAGCCATTGAGAATGACTTCTAGTGCAGGAGGGAGCTAAGGCCCACGGGGGACATTTCACAGACAAGTGTCAGCGGGACATGCTGGGCTCAGCTTAGGACAAGGCGAGTGTGGATTCAGGGGAGGTGACTGGAAGTCCGAGTTTGAGTCCTGGCCAACGTTCTGCTTTGTTTCCCAACAGGAATTTCCACTGCTGGGTAGAGTCATGGATGACCAGGCCGGACCTGCAGCCGGGGTATGAAGGGTGGCAGGCCCTGGACCCCACACCCCAAGAGAAGAGTGAAGGTAGGTAGCATGGCCCCCTTACCTAGATGAGGAAATTGAGGCTTGGAGAGCACTTGCCCAGAGTCCCTCAGCTGGGGAGCACAGGGCTGGCATTCTAATCCAGGTCTGGATGACTCCAAAGGCCATTTGGCTGGTCCACACGAGCGTGGGGGACCTCACTGGTATTTTATAATATGCTTCTTTATCATTTGAAAATCCATCCACGCTTATCGTGGAAAACAGAAAATAAGTAGTAGCATGGAGAAAAAAAATCAAATTGCGTCTTCGTCCTTTCCTTCCAAAAGAAGCATTATTAACATTCACACATAGCTTCCATTAACTTCCAGTTATATACTTGTTTGTATATGTGTGTGTGTAGGTGAGAGAGTGAGTGTGAAGGGGGGCGGTGCTGGGGGTGGGGGCGGTGGTGTGTGGAGAACCAGGCAAAATCGGTGAAGCCAAATGAATCCTTTCTCAGAATAATATTGTTAAATTCATAGAATATAGTACCTAGGGTTAGGGTTACAAAGTAAACCTAGTTTTCAAAAACTTTAAAAATAAATCTGCGATATAATAATATATACCTTATATAACAAGACCTAGCAGTAGAATTAATAAATTTGATAACTTTGGTAGAGATGGGCGTAA